ATGTATATACATCAATGATATATATATGTGCTAATTATAATATAGGCGTAGATAATTACGCATAATTTTCACTTTATATACATTATACATGTATATAAGTAAAAATAAGTAAAAATTTAAGTAAAAGTTTAAGTAAAAATAAGTAAAAAAGTAAAAATAAGTAAAAAGATTAAGTAAAATAAATGAAAATCATGAAAAATAAGTAAAAAATTTTATGATTTAATAAGTAAAAATTTTTATAATTTGTAAGGAGAATTTATTAAGTGTGGTGGACTGTAGTGTGGCGTGGTGCCTTGACCGTGTACGCAGTGTTGAGAAACGAAAGTTCGTTTATGGCTTACTGATGATATTGAAGCATGCAAATAGCAAATAAATAGCACGGTGTAGCGCTTTGGATCAAACGAATCTGAGGGTTTGCTGGGCAAGAGATATCAGGCAGTGAACAAGCGAATAGCAGCTGAATAGGTTTGGCCATCGAACGTAAAGGCAAAGATCGATTGGAGCAACGATGATGGTAATGTTGTTGTCAAGAGTCCATTGAAAAAGAAAAACCCGGGCCCCGATAGAAGAGATGAACGGCTTATAAAGCGGAGTAAGAACCGCCCCAAAAGAGGATGTAATAGTTTTTTGGAGAGGCATGGAATGTACCAAAATGTGGAGAATGGTGAATAGGATAAAACGGAATAGGAAAGGAGGAAATGGAATGAATTTTTTTAAGGGGGTTAAAAAAGGATTGAAAGACGAAAATAACAAAAGGGCAAACATCTGTGAATATAGGTGTGTCCCGCACTAAACGACTGTAACGGCATCGACTTTGCCAGTGAGATAGGCACCCCTCTATGATTCATTCATTCGCTTCGATGATAAATTAGTCTGGCTTATATGGGGGTCGCTTAAAGCACACCTCTGAAGGGGCAATCGAAAACTTTGCTTGGAGACAGTTGGCATTAGTATGTACTACCATTCCAGCTACTTTTGAAATTCTCTGCCTCTCAGGGAGTAATTTGGTGGGCGGCGGAGGGAAGGAGGAGGGGATGGGAGGTTCGATTTTTGCCTCATAAACTCCAAGGCTGTACATCTATCTCTCTCAGTAGTCTTTCTTTGTTGAAAATCGCACAGGTACTATTGAGCCAGCTTACTTTGTTTTTAAAAAGAGAAAAAAATTTTGCAGCTGACCGAAGAAACATTTCTGAATGCGGAAAAAACCGAGCTGGATGCGCATTTTGAAAATCTGTTGCAACGGGCCGATAAAACCGAAGAACACACAAAACGATTACTTTCTGCTATGGAAAGTTATTTGCAGCCAAATCCAAGTAAGCATAGCAGTTCGGTGGTTCTTTAATCAGTTTTTGTTTTATCGCCGCACTTTTTTTTCGCCATCGGTGCAGCTAGCAGCAAATTCTCCATTCTTCTCTATTTTGAGCATCTCTCATCCACATAATTCCATATAGCCGTTCAAGCCGGTCCTTATACTGCATTGAATGCCTTTCTTTTGTTCTTTTTTTTTTTGAAAGAATGATTGTCATACATTGTTAAAAGAACACAGGGAAGACCGTCAGGACGGTTGGAATGACCCAATTGCACAGCCATTTTTTGGCATTTTATTTGCTGAAAATTCCTGGAGCAACGGTAATTCATGGTTTTGCCTTCCAGCTATGCATAGACGCTTTGACCAGTGCCATTTTTCCTGTTAGTTAGGCTGCTGGCAAACTTTATGTGTTCGTTTTTTTCCCCTAAAAAGGATTACCAGCTTAATTGTTTTTCCCACAAAGCCAAGCTTGGGCCGTTTCAAGATGCTCTTGGTGTGTGTGTGTATGTATCTGTGTGTATGTGTGTGTACGTATGTGCGTACTTGTATTTGTGTGTGTATGTGTATGTGTGTGTGTGTACGTATGTGCGTACTTGTATTTGTGTGTGTGTATATGTATCTGTGTGTGTATGTGTATGTGTGTGTGTACGTATGTGGGCACTTGTATTTGTGTGTGTGTACTGACCGTCATTAGAGCTTGGTCTTGAGTATTGCCAGTCCTGAACCATGGTGAGGTGGTTTTTGTTGTTTACGAACACATCTCAGATTTGTCGGCTTTTTTCAGCATTACGTATGGAGGAAGTATTCTATGAGAAATTGGAGTTGCGCAAGGAGAATACTCGTCTGAATAATTTGGAACATCTGGCACAAGCAATGAACGAAGCGGGCAATGAATTTGGCGCTGGCACACCGTACGGTTAGAATTTGAGTATTTTAACGTTCTTTAATGCTAAATTACAAGAGTTACTGAAGTTTAACCCA